CACCAGATGTTTTGGGGTACGACAAGTACGCGCCCAATGCCCATTGCCACCACATCTATGGCAGGCTCCTTCAGAGTTCCTGAGAGCATTGTTCATGTGAGCTTTGCCTTTGTGGCGATTCATATGTTTGAAGTTCGGGCCTGAATTATACCTTGGAACCTGGTTGTGAAACTGACCACCATGGTTCTTACCCTTCCTATTTCACCGACCTCGCTTGTGGCCACATCCTCGTTTATGATTATCGCCACCAGAGGATGTGACGTTCACTTCGAGGGAAGCAGCATTCACTTCTGGGAATGGTGCAGATCCAGTAGGTTGGGAATGATGGTTTTTCATCAAGAACTCATTGTTCTGTTCAGCTACCAGGAGCACAGATATCAGCTGGTTGTATTCAGTGAAGCCTTGTGCTCTATACTGCTGCTGCAAGAGCACGTTAGAGGCATAAAATGTGCTGAAAGTCTTTTCCAGCAAATTTTCCTCAGTAATAGTATCCCCATAGAGCTTCAGCTGAGAGGTAATTCTGAACAACGCAAAATTGTACTCTGCCACTGACTTGAAATCCTGGATCCTTAGGTGAGTCCATTCATAGCGAGCTCTTGGAACCATTATTTGGTGATTGTATCTACTTCTCAATGCATTCCAAAGAGTTAACGGATCTTCAACCGCTAAGTACTCGCTCTTTAGTGCCTCATCAAAATGGCAACGAATAAAAATCATAGCCTTCGCCCGCTCTTGAGAAGATGAGCTACTCTCTTCCCTGATGGTATCTCCAAGATTCCCTGCTTCCAAATGGATCTTGGTATCCAGTACCCAGGTAAGGTAATTCTTCCCGGTAATGTCCAGGGTAGCATAATCAGCTTCGCCAAGTTTGCCATTTTCTTTTCTGAAAGAAAATGAGATGTGTAAGAACTTGCAATAATATGTATTCCTGAAGGAATATAGTGTTAGAACTTTTGGTTCTTACAAATTTTGCATTTTGATCTTCAAGCCAAAATGATAAGCACTCAAAACTTCAGGCTCGAGATTTTCAAGATGAACGAGGAGGGTGATTGTACCGCACCATTCTCATTGAAATAATGTAACATAGAATGGGCGATTATTCCACACCACTCAAGTAGCAAGAAAATTTAAATACGCATAGCAGTGTGGACGATTATACCGCACCACCTAAAATTGCAATGAAATTAAACTGCAGGCAAATTAAATATGCAGGGTAGGGCGGGCAATTATACCGCTCCACCTAAAATTTGTAGTAAAATTAAATTTGTAGTCCAAGATAGGCGATGATACCGCACCATCTTGGATCGCAGTAAGATGAAATTTGCAGTTCAAGATAGGCGATTGTACCGCACCATCTTGGATTGCAGTAAAAATAAATACTGGGTTAGTAATCAATATCTATACCAAACAAGAAATCAAAGATGTATGTAACCGTTAGGTTAAGAACTAGAAGCAGGCATGGAGCAAACAGTTCGTCGTGAGGGTATATCGCGCAGTTGAGGCAAAGAAAAAAGATGAATAGTAAAAACCTTAGAGGAAACTTTCTTCTTTTTTTTCGTTCAGTGAAGAGAAATGAGGAATAGTTATATTTAGAGAGTCGTGCCGATAACGTATTATATTTATGTCAAAGTTAGAAAGATAACCTTTTAGTGAATGGAGTAAAGCATGCGTAAAATATCACATTGAAACAATAGCACAAGAGGATAACAAATAAAAGATGGAGGAAGAGATGATATTATTGATCTTTCTTTCCTTCTGTATATTCTCTCTATATCTTTTGAAAGCATACAGAGTGCTTTATTTATAGAGCAACTCCGAACTAATGCATTAACTGCACTTTGAAATTTACATCACCCATTTTGACAATACCATCTCCTGCATCTCCAAATTTCATTTCACTTTGCATGGACATTAAAAACTTCTGCCAAAGTACTGTGGGCATTCACTACCTACTAGCATTTTCAACAAATCCCATTTTATTGACACTATAAAGTTATTAACTAGTTGGTGTTTCTTATTAAATTCAACTCCAACATTTGGTTGACTTTTGATCCTTAAGTTGGCAAATCTAGCAAAAATCATGAAAAATTAGCCCCTCACATGATTTACTTAATTTTAATTTTATTATTCGGGCCATATGATAAAAGATTCCTTAGTGCCATCTCATGTGAACGTCTTGTCTGACATATAATTTTAAAGAAATAAAGGACAGAGGAAATATTTTTTTAATAAAGATCCTAAATTCTAAGCTTTTTTTTTATATAGAAATTCTAAATTTTTATACATATGAATCTAAACAAGAGAATTTGCGAATATCAATTTATAAATTATGACTTTTGCAAAAATTTCAAGTTTAATTTATTCATACAAACATAGTGTAATTGTTACAATAATTACTGGATAAATTGTGAAGAGCATCATCTTTGCCGATGAGGTCTTATGTTCGAACTCCTCCTTTCAATATGCTTTGTCAATCTCTGTTAAAAATTCCACAAAAATTATCAGGTGTTACGCACATGACCATTTTCATTTGTGTTTTGATCACTCCTTGACCTCTAAATGATTGGGACTAAGTCATTGGCTACAACTTGTATTTGTGAAAATGGAAAATATGTCCTACAAGCTTTAGTTAACTAAATTCTTATTAAGAGTTATATGGAGTTTTAAGTGTCAAAAATACATTCGAAAAAAAAAAAGGAAAAAAAAATAGAGTATTCACACAGTTATCACTTTACATGAGAAATTGACGATTTGGAGTTTTGGTGGTACTTCGGTTAGGACAATACTTGGTATTTACTAGAGAATATTTTATGTAGTCACTTTCTGATTTCATTCAATAAAAAAATGACATGTGTTCTTTGTTTTCAAAAGCTCAAAAAAAATAATAACATGTCCATTATTTTTTAGAACAATAATACGTGTTAAAAAAGCATGAGACAAAATAAAAAGGTAAGTACCCATTAGTGAGTACCCAAGTGGAAGAGGATCATCTTCAAATTCGGGGATCAACAAATCCTCATCGTTCAAAATTGATCTTACAATCAGAAATTTTCTCTACTTTTTCACAGAGCACACTTTCGCATACCAGAATTATCTCCCCTTCTCACCTATGGTGGTGTCTAGCATGCCACCACCAACCAACTTCGCAGCGGCAAGGAGTTCAACGGCCAAACTAGGTTCTTCCTCAAACTTTCTCATTCACTTTCACAACTTCACCACTCACCAGTCACCCACCTCCATGATTGTTGTCATTCCACCCAATCCACTCCTCCTTCCTCATCCCCTCTGGTCATCTCACCCCCATCCCCTCCTTCTTCGTCTCCCATCGCCTGCACCTTTTCCCTCTAGTTTTATGGCCGCACGATTAAATTTAATGACCAGTATTGATGGATTCATTGGGTCTGGAGGCAAAGCTCCGGAGATGATCTTAGTCGGTACCCACGTATTTGTTTTTTTAACAAATGATATTATCTACACTAAAGGAGAGTGAGTGGATGTAGCCTCATAATAGATTAATAATAAGGTAGTTAAAACTCGCTTTTAGCGAACTTAGAGCATCTCCAATTGAGACTTTAAATGGAGTCTCTACAATTGTATAGTCCCTAAATATAGGGACATATGACTTCCAATGGGCCAAAATTGAAGTTCTCAAAGTATCTTAATACATAAGGACTCGCCAAATACCTCAAAAAAAATTTCAAATATGAGAACTACATATACAGACTCAAATAGTGGACTCCATATTAATTTTGAGTGAGAAATGATGCTACTCTTTATGTTTATTTCCTTGTTTTTTGAACACACCAAAGGCAACTTCTCATTTGCCTTTTTTTTTTTTTTTTAATTCTTGAAAAATCAAAGGTAGAGATAGTATTTTTATTTTTATCAATGGTTACAATAATTCAATGAAATGAATAATAATTTTTTTATATTTTAGTCTCTATATTTAGGGATTATATTATAAGAAATTTTTATTGTAGACAATATTCTTTTAAGGACTCGAATAATCCTCTAAGAGCAGTTCCATCGTGGAACTGATAGGCCAGCACCCAACCCAAGCCAGGCAAGAGACCGGCCTAAAATCGACAGACCCATATGCCGAGCCATCTGACGTCAACCGGGTCATCAACTTCCTGCACGATCAACGCGTCGCAGAGAGATCTTGGTGCAAAGCTTTTCGAGGTTGAGGTTGATTCCGGGTTCTTGGTGTAGAGCTCCTCAAGGCTGAGGTTGATTCCGGGGCGGAGGGAGATCAAAGACGACAGAAGAAGAAGCACCGCGACCACCGCCAAGAAAACCAGAACTAGGTACGAGGATGGGGCTTCCCTTCTACAACAGTGATGATGTCCCATCAAAGATTCAATGGCCTTTGTCAATGGAAGTTGATGTTTCTGCAGAGAAACAAAGTGGATGGAATTTGAAATTTGAAACCCTATTGACATATAAACAAGGACTTGAGTATATCAGGGAAGAAAAAGAAGAATGAGTCCAGAGATACCCTTTTGATAAAAAGTGGGAAAAAGAATTAAAAATTAAATTATTATTTTATAATAAAAATTAATAATATTTTAATAAAATTGACTAGGTTATTTAGTTTTAGGAACGGAGATGCATTTGGCCTATTACTGTTCATTGGGATTTATCACTGTTCACTGAGTGGATAAATGCGCTGAGTGCTAGCACATTTGTGTTAGGGGTGGAACTACTCTAAAACTCCTAAATGAGTCCCTAAAAGTGGTCGTGGGAGTCTTTAAATAGGGAATCTTATTGAAAATGCTCTTAAAACATTTTACTTACAAGTAAAGAGTAATACTCTACTAAGTCGGTAATAAAGTAATAACTAAACTTAATAATTGCACTCCTCAAGTTTTAACAAAATGACTAAAATACCCATAATGGAATATGTGTGCTTTTTGAAAGTTGCACTTCGACGTTGAAGACCTTCGTCGAGTCTCACTCTCTCACACCTCTTTGCGAGCACCCTCTCCCTCTCTCTCTCTCTCTCTCTCTCTCTCTCTCTCTCTCTCTCTCTCTCTTACCTTTTTGCTTTTAAGGAGGAACGCCTCTTGATGTCTATAAATTTGAGAAGCCAAAGTGTTGCCACTTTTACGAGGAACGCGCACAAATTCCTCTGCATTCCTTCTTCTCTCCTCCACCGAGCCAACCAAAACAAGCAGCACATCAGGCCTCGGCTTCTCTGACTTGTCTCTCCTTCTTTGCCTGATCGACAACGAAAGCTCCACAAAAGAATTGGGGTTCTCCTTTCAAGTTTTCAACCTCCCTCAATTTTACCATCATCTCCTTTGGATTCATTCCTGTAAGCACTCTATTTCCCCAGTAAAACCAAAACCCCAAAACACCCAAATTTTTAATTTTCTGTAATTGTTGTGTTTTGCTTGTTTTAGTCATTGATTTGTGACGTAAATCCGTTTTTTATCAGCAATGCGATTGACAGTACGTCCCACAGTTCTTATGATTCTTTCTCCTCTCTCTCTCTCTCTCTCTCTCTCTCTCTCTGTGATTCATTGTCCCACTATTTCTGTGAAGCTCTGTTTATCTCAAATCACCAAGATCTGGTGACTCCTTCCCCATATTTACAAAACCCAAATCCCAAATTTCTCAGATAAACAAAAGATTCCGGTCCCAATCATTTCTCATCATTCTTCCATATTTTGGTTCTCAAAAGTCCTTTTTTTTTTTTTTTTAACGTAAAATCCAGCTCCAAACTTGACCAAATATAATCTTTTGTGACATATTTATTTAGATTTGATCCGTGGCTAAAGATCTCAAACCAAAAAAGGCCAACCCTTTTGGTCACTATTCTTGTTTTTGTTTAAGGCCTCCCTCTCTGTAAAGGCTACCTCCCTTGCTTGTAAAGAAACATTCCTCCTCCCAAAAGGATGAACCTGGCCTACTCTCTCTCTCTCTCTCTCTTATTTATTAATTACCCCAAAAACCATTTTCTCCAAATATTGTAATTTTTTAAATTTTAATTTAATTTCTTCAAGCTTACGTTGATTCCGAAGCTGTCTCCATATTTCCTGCAACTGGGTTTTTTATTTTCGGTTGAATGCTCTAGTTGACGCTGATTTAATCTCCGTTTTCGCCTTCTTTTTTCTCTTGCCGTTAAAAAAAACAAAAATAAATAAAAATCTGTCAATAAATTATATTTTTTTCCTTTGATTCAGCACCCATTTTGTTTTTCTTGACGACTTTCACTTCTCTAGTCATATTTTTTTTTTCTTAATTAAGTAATTATTAATGTGCTTTTGGATTGGATTTATCTTAACCCACCGACTACACTCGCCTTCCTCTCCGTTCAGATTTTAGAGTTGTGGACTGGATTTCGGTCCGGTGATCGGACGGCGGAGCAATGAGGACCAACGGCGGGAAGATATCCAAGGTACCCAATTCATCTTTTGGCCATTAAATTTTCGTTTATCGTAAATTTGTAAAAGATCGGGTTCTCGAAACCGAAACAGAAATTAAATCCAATATCCGAATTGTTTGGCTACAGCCTTCGTGGCCGAAAGTGATGGCGAGGAAATGGCTCAACATACCAATCAAGGGGGATGAGTTTCATTCCGATTACTCTCCAAAATGTAAGATTTCGGGTTTTTCCCGGTTTATTCATTTTTCGCGGTGTATCGTTTCGTATCGGATGCGTCGGTGTTTCGGCGGTTTCCAATCTGAAGTTGTTTGTTTGCTTGTTTGCTGTGTCAGATGAGACTGGGAGAAGGAAGAGCTGCTCGGACCAAGACCGCTACGTCGTCGTACCGGACGATTTTTCAGGTAATTTTACCATGCAGCCGCACCGTACTCGTACTTGGTTCACCTTTGGCTCTTTATCCTCCAGCTGGAACGGGCGCTCTGATATCCTCTGAGCCGTCCGATCCACGGCTTTTGTTTTTAATTTTGATTAGACGCGAACTGGGTTACGATGGGCTCCCTTGATTCTAGATGGGTCCCCCTTGTGATGGTTTAGAGCGAGGAATGTTTTAGTCTATCGAAAACACAAATTAGGATGTCGTGGTTGGATATTTGAAAAAAAAAAAATTTTAATAATTTTATAATGACACTTTTTGTACAGGAGTGTATTTCAAACACACTAAAAAATCCTCAGATTATTCTGGTTGTGCCACGTGGACGGGGAGGATGTTAGGCTGATGAACTTGGGTTATTGTGCTACAGTAACATAGGTGTCCTTTGCTATATTATTTCTCAAGTAATTGAGCTTTTTCTTCAGTTTTGGGTATTAATCTTGTTTTATTTTGTGTTTATTTTTTCAAGATAGATGCACGTTGATGGGGGAAACAGCCCATAGACAAAGTTGTGGAATGGAGCCGCCTACTGTCACTGATGATCCCAATCTCAAGTAAGTCAATATCACGATTGTGTAAGTGATGTTTATAGGGCATAATTACATGTTAAGTGCAAAAACCTATAAATAATTGGTATATTTGTCCAATCATATGGTGTATTGACCTCTGTACATCATTGTATGTGTTACTTAGTGTTATTCAATGAACTGTATTTTCATGTGTTTCTATTGTAGCTGGATTTGCTTATGTAAGTAATTGCCAGCCAATTACAACAATCACGTACTTAGTTCAATAAATACATTTCCGTAACTTCTCTTATATTGTGTTGTGTAATTTTGACGATTGATTTTGACTTGGCTAATGTATGATTCAATTTTGGATAATTTTCTTGAGAATAATCTGACTAGGTCTTGGCCTTTGAAACAATGCTTCATTTCACACAAGTTTTTGTGAGAATAGACTAAACGAAGTCGTTTTGTCTATGTTTAGGATGTTCGTAGGGACATGGAATGTTGGAGGCAAATCACCCCAGGACAACTTGAACTTGAGGGAATGGCTGAAATCTCCTACTCCCGCAGACGTCTATGTTCTTGGGTAACAGTCTTTGCTTTGCATCTCTCTCTCTCCCTCTCCCCCTCTCTCCTTTCTTCTCTCTCTTTCTCTGTCCAGGAATTTGCATACCAAGTTTGACTCCTTTCTTGTTTTTTGCTTTGTCTTGACAATGGTAGTAGTCTAAACATGGAAAAGAAGACTTTGTGCCAATGAGTAGTCGTCCAACCTATAATTTACACTTTATTAGATCCAATCCAATATTCCTTTTATATTAGGGTTCTTGTTTAATTCGATGTTTGTTCTGTATTGCAAGTTTTAATTATGTAAAAGGATACTGGTAATATTTTATTATCAGACAGTCTAACGTGTCATGTCGGTAAAGTAAAAGTTAGTGAATTAGTGATTTTCTTGTCAGACAGTTTAACTAGTTATGTCGTCATAAGTTAATTAACTAGTTATTCAGATTAACAATTTGACAATGTTTTATGTAGAAGTTAGCTGGCAAGAGAACTTCCATTTGTCATGCATACATCAAGTTACTTGAAATATATTTGAATTTGGAACTTTTTTTTTTTTTTTTTTAATTAGGTTCCAGGAAATTGTCCCTTTGAACGCCGGGAACGTATTGGGCGCGGAAGATAAGGGCCCAGCTGCCAAGTGGCTGTCCCTGATTCGCGAGGCACTGAACAAGAATGACCCTGGACAGCTTGACCAGCAAGGCAAGCCTAGGCTCAGCTTCTCCGACTTGCTTTCTTTAGAAGATGAGCTTAGCAGTGCAGATTTTGAGAGACTTCTGAATTTGAATCCCGCGTCGACTTCAAGTGGAGAAAACTCACCAACCTCGCCAGTGATGTGTCAGTGGAAAGGCAATAGTCCAATGCAAGGAAATCGTTACTGCCTATCAGCAAGCAAGCAGATGGTCGGAATTTTCATGTGCGTGTGGGTTCGTGCTGATCTTTGTAGACACATTAGCAACACGAAGGTCTCGTGTGTTGGTAGAGGCATAATGGGATACCTTGGAAACAAGGTTAGTTACTTTAAATTTCAAAACATAAAATTTATACCACACGAGAATAAAACTATTTGTATGATGACATTGTTGTTTAGATGGTCGCTTTAAGCTATATGGTTTTGCATGCGACAGGGTTCAATATCAATCAGCATGACGTTGCAAGGAACAACATTTTGTTTCGTGTGTGCACATTTAACCTCTGGGGAGAAAGAAGGGGATGAGATGAGAAGGAACTCAGATGTCATGGAAATCTTAAAGAAAACAAGATTTTCTCATTCATGTAGAACAAAGGGACAACTGCTTCCTCCCAATAGCATTTTAGACCATGAGTAAGTCATTGAAACCAAACCTCTCTTATTTTTGTTCATGTAATTGCCAATAAGTATACATTATGGTTGTTTTAATCCTACAATTAAGACAATTTTGCCTGTTTTTAATCTAATGCAGCAAGGTTATTTGGCTCGGGGATTTAAATTATCGGCTAGCTGCTGCTTGCTGCGGCGACACACATGAACTATTAAAGAAGCATGATTGGCAGGCACTTCTAGAGAAAGATCAGGTAAGATACTGATGTAAACTGTTTTTCCCCCAAACATAGGGGAATAGGTGTACTGTCCCGAATCGAAATGGTATCTTTGGTATTTCGCATCTTACGCTCGGATTTGTTGTTTTGGCAGCTAAGGATAGAGCAACAAGCAGGTCGAGTTTTTAAAGGGTGGGAGGAAGGGAGGATATATTTTGCTCCAACCTACAAATACCTAGCTAATTCTGATCATTATGTTGCCCAAAGTTCTAAATCTAGAGATAAGAGACGCACTCCAGCCTGGTAAGATTCCAATCAGTTTCCCTATGAGCTTATCAATAATTGCATCAAATTTCATCACGCATTCATCGAGTTTATTGAAATGAGGATCAACTAGTGATCACCATCATTACACAGACATAATGTAATTATATGTTTCGTAATCTTCATTATGAATTTTTAATTACATACGGTGAGACCGGTTTCAACCTATATTAGAGATATTATCATTGATTAGCAATGTGATCAGTAAATGTAGTACATCAGGTAATAGCGTCTCATCGTTAAAAATCTTTTCTAGACTACGCGTTGAGGTGGACCTTAAACTGTTGCTAGTTAAGGACAATCAACTTTGTTAAGCCTCCATATTCAATCAGAGTAATCGTCCTCCTAATCCTATAACCGACCCGTCAACTTTATTGAATCCGTGTTGACTCCAGGCTGCAGTTCCGGATTTGTTTAAAATATTTTTCAAATTGTTTGTAATTAGTACGGACCTTTTTCACGTTTTTATTAAACTGAATTAATCCAAATAAAGCTTAAGTTTTACTTGCTACACTAATCCTTTTTTAATTGGTGTTGTGGGTGGTGGGATTTAACTATTTAAGCATCTTAAGGCAGGGACCATAATTATTATTTTTGTCCACATGAAATCAAAATATTATTTTTTGGTCATCATTTATGTTTTACATTAATTGATAGTTTAATTTAGGAGTCGGCAGGGGAAACAAAGAACTGTTTCCTTTGTCTAATTTTTAAAAAATGAACATGTGACATGTACAGACTATCATGTATGTATTATCATATTTAAAACAAGTTGTTTGTGTTTAAACCTTTGCTACCACGGCCCTGCGGGCGTGGGCATAGCCACATTGGTGAGCAACGATGCTCTTTATTATGCACCCGAGTTCAAATATCTATTTCCGCTGTTTACATTAGTTTAAGGTATAACATCTGCATTGTTCTAGTTTCTTGCTTTCATAGGCTGAGTTTATGCTTGTTGTAGACGCATTTATATTCAGTAAATGTGGTTCAAATAGTTTTCATCGATGTTACTTTAGTTCGGAAAAGAGACTAATGTGGTTTGATATGTATGGCAGGTGTGACAGGATTTTATGGAAGGGGGAAGGGCTTAAACAAATGTCGTATGTGAGAGGGGAGTCGAAATTCTCAGACCACAGACCGGTTTCTTCGTTGTTTTCAGTCTGGTTAGACTTGGCTGACAAGAAAAAGCTCAACTCTTGCATGCTCAAGTCATCAGCCAAAGTGCAGGCGGAAGAGCTTTTGCTGCTCACGGAACCAAAAGCTGCTTAGACACCACCTCAAGGTTCTGATTTAATTACTGCCAAACACAGCCCACATTTTTGAAGACCAAAAGCTGAAGCAGCCAGCCAATGTACAAATTTACAGCTAAGTACTGTGTAAATTGGTTTGGTTTTGACCGACTGACAAAATCAGAAGCTGGTGTCCCTGGCTTTTTTTTGACAGTTGTTGGGACTAAAATTTTAAGCTCTCAAAGGCGTGCTTAAATTTTTGAAGGCATGATGATGATGAAATGGTGTCGGTGGAGCAGAGAAGTGAAGCAGAAGCATATAAGCTGCTGGGACTGGGAAAGTTGGGATGGAGAGTGATAGCAGCTTCTGTGAAAAGTTGAATTGTAAGTGGTTAATCAGCTTTTGGCAGAAGAATATATCTTTGTTTGAGATTAAGTTAGGGGGAGAGGGGACACACAGAGAGGTTGATTAAAAAGTTGAAATGTGTAGGAAAAAAAGGACAGTTTTGATTGAAAGTTTTCTGTTAAGGGAACTGGGGGAGATGGTGGCTTTCGTTTGCTTTTGCAATTTACTAATGAAATTCTTTTATATTTCCAACCAAGTATAAAGATGCGTCTTACACTTACAACGCGTTACAGATTCACTTAAATATGTATATATGTATTGACATTATATACCTCTCAAAGTTTAACCACCTTTTTGTCACGAGTTATAATTTGCACAAACTTGCAACATTAAACAATAAATGAAATGGTTTTGGAATTTTGATTCCAGCGTTTGGAACAAGATTGAAATCAATTCCCATCCAATGTTTGGCAAACCCCAGGAATGAAACAAATGCAATCCTCATTCACTGAAGTGAAAATCCTAAACTTCAAAACATGTTAAAAATTGATTTGATAAATCTCATGAAGTTATATGTTTTAATTCTAAAGTAATTACTGACCATGTCAACAACAGAACAGAAGTAGTGTCAGTCCAACCGTATTTGAATTCATCAACTTTGTAGCTATATCCCTATCCAAGTTAACAAACACCACAATCTGCTTTATCAAGGAGAACATTATAGCCGCTATAACTTATTGTTCAAATTCAGATCTGTGCGCATGACAAAAGATTGAGAAAACTCCACGTTTATTAAAAGTAACACATAAAGTTTCTCTTATGTTGACACATAACATTGTCTCGTGCTATAATTTCAAGTGAACTACTTTCAATACTAGCACACCCAATAGCATATACAACTCTAAGAGAACAAGACAAATGCCCACCAAAACACAAATGGAAACACTTAGAACCAAATTTTTTCACCCAATTTTGTTAGCAAGTCCATTATCCTTTGGGCCATACCCTTTTAAAATACAATTTTCCTTTAAATATATTGAAAACAGAAAAGAAAAAAAAGTTTCCCCCACTTTTTCCCCTAGACACTCCAAAGAGTATGACTAATTTCCAGACACTTCAAAGAGTATGCCTAATTACCAGTTTCTAATCCTCCAATCTACCAACAAAAGAACTATACCATTTGATCCCTTTATCAGCCAAAAAATTGTAAAAAAAAATAAAATAAAAAAATGCATCATGTAAGGATTTTACCATGAATCCATTTTATTTTTTACTTTACAAATTTTATAAAGGGGCATGCTCGCTGGATCATGCATCTATATTATAAATATACATAATAGATAGGCCTATTGATTCACACCCAATATCTTTCTATAGATAGTAATGGTATCAACTCATATGTCCGTGTGTCTATGTGGTGGAATAAAAATAAAACATGGGATAAAAAAAATTAAAATTATCTTTCATAGAGATGGCCGAGTGGTTGATAGCTCCGGTCTTGAAATCCAGTATAGTTTGAAACAAAGAACTATCAAGGGTTCGGATCCCTCTCTCTCCTTTATACTCAATTAATAGATTTGTTGCTTTTCTTTATTTTATTGGTTTTTCCCGGCTCAGTAGTGTAGCATAAAAGGAATGGCTCAGCTAAGTGGGATAGTCGAGCCAGAAAAAAAAAAAAAAAGATTAGAAGTATAAATGAGTTGAAAAGAAAGAATGCTTTTAAAATATGACCTGATCCACCATACATATTAAGTTTGGTGGAATCAATTTGATTCCTACTTTAGGCTAAAGGCATTTTAACTCACTTTTGTTCAGTCAAACAGAACCTGTCTCTCAAAATTCTCAACCAGAGAATTATCTGTATTTTTACTAGCTTTATGCCTCAAATCCAATTAAAAAGAGCAAACCTAACTTGAAATTTTACCTTACTTCTGCTGGACCAGTTGTCTTAGTTAAAATGTTTCTCCTAGATCTAATTATTTTGGATGTCAAGTCCAAGTTGTGGTCTTCTCACCCTTTACATATTTCACTTAGGAGACATTTTTGTTGGTTGAAGGAGTTAACGGAGTATCACGGACAGATTGTGAAATACTCTAGCTAAAAAAATGGATTTAATCATAAACCCTAATATAGTAAGTAGAGTTTGATGTTTCAATTAAGGTTGGACGTTCTCTTCATCAATTCAAATCTCAAGACTCAAAAAGAGAGTAAGCAGAACCAATTCAATATGATATTCATCAACAATTACCTATAGAAATGGAGGAGATGCTTCCAATTGCAATCAACCACAAAGTTTCAGATAATACTAATTAATTAAAATGTCATAAACCTAAGTCCCAACAAATAAAAGCTCCAATGTCCATTTTAAGGTGCATAGTGATAAAGTTACTACTCAACAAAGTGTTTTTTTTCCCATTAAAGTAAATTTAAATATATATAAAGACTGTATATAGTTTAAGTGGGACAACCTTTTGCTTATAAATCCAATAAGAGACAGACATGTGTCCCTGACTCAAGCCACCCTCGTGACATGGCACGCGTATTGTTACTATGCCGTATTGTGATAATAATACAATGTTATGAAATAAACTTACACATATTGGACTATTAATCTGCTTCACTTAATTTATGGATTTAAGTTGTAGCATGTGCAGCACTCTTTTTTTTCTATCCTGAAGTTTTGTCCCATGTGTTTTTCTTCGAAAGGATTTTTTACCGAGGCCCACGTTAGTATTCATCACCTAGCATGCCAACTCTTTTTGGTTGCTTGTAGCTAGAAATTTTGATGTTTTACATCTCTATTGTATGGTATGTCCCGTGATATTAATCAGGTCACGTATCTTTTTTAAAATTGTTACTGTAATTTCTGATATTCACGTTTGGGTATGGACAGTTTTCTGCTATCCTCTATACTATCTATGTTGTTTAATAAATCACCAAATTAAAAAAAATACTAAGGCCTTGTTTGGAACGTCGTATTAAGCGCTGTATATGATTAATAATACGGTAGCAGTTGTTTGGTGCATAATCATACTAAATAAGCACCTACTTAATTATACGATCCAACAAATTTAATATTATTGACATCGGACAATTAATACAACTCACAAGCTCGGCATTATTAGTCAGGGATGCTAACCAAAAACACGCTCGCTTATCCTCTTCGGTTTCACACATCTGCTCCTCGGCAAATCCTCTCCATCTTCAGCAGCAATTCCTCGACGAGTTCTCAACCCCAACCGCCACTCATCTGCAATCAGTCGCCAAGCAATTTCTCGTCTCGTCTGCCGCTTCCTGCTATGTCACGTTTCAGTAGTCGACGTCGAAGCACGACAATGTGGACAAAAAGGTAGTTGAGATTAGGAAGCTCGATTGATGTCAACAACAATAGACTTAACAACTGAATGATCTTTCGTCGCCGACAGCATTGAATCTAGCTCCGACGACCCCGATTAACTCTGACTTTTGCATCGAATTGATTTCTTTTCTTCATCAATTTGGATCTTCAATTTAATTAGTAGTTTTTTTGTGACAACCTGTCCCTACTTTTACGATTTTATTAATTTTAGTTTAGTGAAAGGACGCAAATGCCCTTAGAGGTGAAGGTATTGACTTTCGTTGACTAACGTATAGTGAGACATACGAAATATTCTTTTAACATATTCTTGAAGTACTCAATGATACAAACTCGTAGGCGCAAGCAGAATCGAAATCAGAACTACGGTTAAAGTTTTACGGAGCTACGAATCCGAAAGTATTTTTGAAGAAATCACTATTTTAATTATATTATACTATTTTATACTACTAAATTGTTATGCCACATGTGCGTGGCTGAGAGGGGAAAAGAAAGAAATCAGGGAGGAGGAGAAACAGAGGAGAAATGATTGGGCAGAGCTGCCCAATCGTAGGAGGAGAGAGGGAGATGAGGAACGAATCAAGAGAAGAGGGAGGAGAGTCTAACCAATCAGGAATGAGAACAAGAGGGAAAAGAGAGAAGAAGAAGATGAAGGAACCCAAACCGGGTCTCCATTGACCCGTGCAACCCGACCAGCGGGAGCCATGAAAATCGATGGTTTCCCGACCAATTTCCGACGAATTAAGCCAAACCCGACCAGCATGGCCAGTGGGCCGACGCTGCCTTTTTTAGTTAAATTTGATGTTCTGATGTCAATTTGATAACGGTTTGTTATAGTTTGATAGTTTGAACCTAGCATGGAATACTATGTCACTTGACCATTTTATGAATCGACGATCTGACCGTTGGATCGTTACCAAACTTTAATACGTTATAGTATGTAATATTTGAGGACATTAGAAACTTACGGATTGGGAATCCCACATACGGATCTTCCCGAATTAGATTTGTAAGTTCGTAAAATAAAATGTTGACCGCCACTTAATTTTAACGATTGACGGAGATCCGACCGTTTGATCGTTTTGAAATTTTAGAATATTGTTCTAGAAGATAAATGAGAACCTTAGGAAGTTACAGATCTTCCAGATCGAGTTATGTAGGGTTGTGGACCCTGCCGTCGATCTTTGACCGACGGTTGACTTTTGGTCAATGGGTTTCAAATCATTATAGAACGTCCTTGGGGATGTGTTTTATGTAAGTTATGTGTTATATCGATAAGAATTCTGAGACATGATTTGATAATTGTTCTAGGCGACGATCGTTCGTGATGCATAGATATTTATGCTAGGGAGTTATAGCACGAACTTCAGGTAAGTGGGTCTTTTCCTTTTTATAGTATATTTTTATGATTGATAGTTTCCATTTATGCATTTGAAAAAAAAAATTCCTTATGTATGCCTGGATTAGACTAATGTTTATAAGAATTAGCAAAATGACGGAATTTATGAAATATGCTACATCCTACGGGATGCACATGTATGCTTATAATCTTTGATGCCATAATTATATCTACGGCTATGAATGTTAGTATGTTGATTAGAATTATTGAATTTTTATGGCATGCTTATATTTATGTAGTCTGCTCATCATTGCTGCACCCCAGTGTTATTGCTCGCCTCGGGTTAGGGCCAATCTTTCACGTGTATGTTCAGCCCCCGCACCATACACTCTCCTTGGATCCAGTGCCAGTCTTGTCGTACAGGTCGCATTAGGCGACTCCGACTCGTAGGTGATCACGCATAACGCCAGTCTTCACGTGATCATAGCACTAGAGCGTATATATTATGATTACACTCAGTCCTGTCGTACATGTCGCATTAGGTGACTCCGACTCATGTGCT